GCCTTTATCTGTACAGAAATATTGAAAACTTCGAAAACAGTCAATAAATTTGCATACATTACTCGTCATATTTTAGAAAACTTGGACGAAAACAAGTGTCTTAAGAATGCTAATTAGAAGAGTTATTTAAGCATACATTAGAATCGAGTCAAGGTTATCGAAAAAGAAGCGCTTCCCCAGGTGAGCTCAACTCACACCTCGGCATTACTAGATACTGCTGTATAAGTACCGCGCTAAATTCGCCACTGGGGACCGGAGAGTCCTTTTTTCAGAAATATTGAAAAATATGAAAAACATTCAATAAATTTGCATACATTACTCGTCATATTTTGGAAAACTCTGACGAAAACAAGTGTCTTAAGAATGCTAATTAGAAGAGTTATTTAAGCCGAGAGAAGAATCGAGTGAAGGTTATCGAAAAAGAAGCGCTTCCCCAGGTGAGGCTCGAACTCACAGCCTCGGCATTACTCGCAGATACTGCTGTATAAGTACCGCGCGCTAACCAATTGCGCCACTGGGGACACGGAGAGTGTCCTTCTTTGTGCAGAAATATGGAAATTTATGAAAAACATTCAATAAATTTACATCATTTCTCGTCATATTTTAGAAAACTTCGACGAAAAACAATGTTTAAGAATACTAATTAGAAAGTTATTTAACCGAGAGTAGAATCGAGAGATAAGGTTATCGAAAAGAGACTTCCCAGGTGGGGCTCGAACTCACAGCCTCGGCATTACTCGCAGATACTGCTGTATAAGTACCGCGCTAACCAATTGCGCCACTGGGGACACAGAGAGACTCTTTTTTGTGCAGAAATATAGAAATTTATGAAAAACATTCAATAGACATACATTACTCGTCATATTTTGAAAACTGACGAAAACAAGTGTTAAGAATGCTAATTAGAAGAGTTATTTAAGCATAGATTAGAATCGAGTCAAGGTTATCGAAAAAGAAGCGCTTCCCCAGGTGAGGCTCGAACTCAAGCCTCGGCATTACTCGAAGATACTGCTGATAAGTACCGCGCGTAACAATTGCGCCTGGGGACTCGGAGGCGCTTTTTTTGTACAGAAATATTGAAAATGTAGAAAACATTCAATAAATTTGCATACATTACTCGTCATATTTTAGAAAACTTCGACAAAGACAAATGTCTTAAGAATGATAATTAGAAGAGTTATTTAAGCCGAGAGTGGAATCGAGATAAGGTTATAGAAAAAGAAGCGCTTCCCAGGTGAGGCTCAACTCACAGCCTCGGCATTACTCGAGATACTGCTGTAAAGTACCGCGCTAACTGCGCCCTGGGGACTCGGAGAGCTTTTCTGTACGGAAATATTGAAAATGAAAAACAGTCAATAAATTTGCATACATTACTCGTCATATTTTAGAAAACTTGACGAAACAAATGTCTTAAGAATGATAATTAGAAGAGTTATTTAAGCCGAGTGGAATCGAGATAGGTTATAGAAGAAGCGCTTCCCAGGTGGGGCTCGAACTCACAGCCTCGGCATTACTCGCAGATCTGCTGTATAAGTACCGCGCGCTAACCAATTGCGCCACTGGGGACTCAGAGAGCGCTTTTTTCTGTCGGAAATTGAAAATGGAAAAACATCAATAAATTTGCATACATTACTCGTCATATTTTAGAAACTTGAGCAAACAAATGTCTTAAGAATGATATAAGAAGAGTTATTTAAGCCGAGAGAAGAATCAGGTAAGGTTATCGAAAAGAAGGGCTTCCCCAGGTGAGGCTCGAACTCACAGCCTCGGCATTACTCGCAGATACTGCTGTATAAGTACCGCGCGCTAACCAATTCGCCACTGGGGACAGGAGGTGTCCTTTTTGTGCAGAAATATTGAAAATATGAAAAACATTCAATAAATTTCATACATTCTCGTCATATTTTAGAAACTTCGACGAAAAACAAGTGTCTTAAGAATATAATTAGAAGAGTTATTTAAGCCGAGAGTAGAATCGAGAGATAAGGTTATCGAAAAAGAAGGCTTCCCCAGGTGAGGCTCGAACTCACAGCCTCAGTACTCCAGATACTGCTGTATAAGAACGCGCTAACCAATTACTGGGACAGAGAGACTCTTTTTTGTGCAGAAATATGAAAATAGAAAAACATTCAATAAATTTGCATACATTACTCGTCATATTTTAGAAAACTTGACGAAAAACAAGTGTCTTAAGAATGCTAATTAGAAGAGTTATTTAAGCATAATTAGAATCAGAGTAAGGTTATCGAAAAGAAGCCTTCCCAGGTGAGGCTCGAACTCACAGCCTCGGCATTACTCGAAGATACTGCTGTAAAAGTACCGCGCGTAACAATTGCGCCCTGGGGACTCGGAGGGCCTTTCTGTACAAATTTGAAAAATGTGAAAAACATTCAATAAATTTGCATACATTACTGTCATTTTAGAAAACTTGGACGAAAACAAATGTCTTAAGAATGATAATTAGAAGAGTTATTTAAGCCGAGAGTGGAATCGAGATAAGGTTATCGAAAAGCGCTTCCCCAGGTGAGGCGAACTCACACCTCGGCATTACTCGCAGATACTGCTGTATAAGTACGCGCTAACCAATTGCGCCATGGGGACTCGGAGAGCTCTTACGGAAATATTGAAAAGCAGAAAACAGTCAATAAATTTGCATACATTACTCTCATATTTTAGAAAACTTGGACAAGCAATGTCTTAAGAATGATAAGGTGCGAGAGAGCAATGCAGCAGCTTCCAAAGCGCTCTCCGAGTCCCCATTGGCGCAATTGGTTAGCGCGCGGTACTTATACAGCAGTATCTGCGAGTAATGCCGAGGCTGTGAGTTCGAGCCTCACCTGGGGAAGCACTTCTTTTTCGATAACCTCATCTCGATTCTATCCTCGGCTTAAAAAACTCATCTAATTAGTAATCTTAAGACACTTGTTTTTCGTCGAAGTTTTCTAAAATATGACGAGCAATGTATGCAAATTTATTGACTGTTTTTCATATTTTTCAATATTTCTGCACAAAAAAGACGCTCTCGGTGTCACCAGTATCGCAATTGGTTAGCGCGCGGTACTTATACAGCAGTATCTGCGAGTAATGCCGAGGCTGTGAGTTCGAGCCTCACCTGGGGAAGCGCTTCTTTTTCGATAACCTTATCTCGATTCTACTCTCGGCTTAAATAACTCTTCTAATTATCATTCTTAAGACATTTGTTCTTCGTCCAAGTTTTCTAAAATATGACGAGTAATGTATGCAAATTTATTGACTGTTTTTCGCAGTTTTCAATATTTCCGTACAGAAAAAGCGCTCTCCGAGTCCCCAGTGGCGCAATTGGTTAGCGCGCGGTACTTATACAGCAGTATCTGCGAGTAATGCCGAGGCTGTGAGTTCGAGCCTCACCTGGGGAAGCGCTTCTTTTTCGATAACCTTATCTCGATTCCACTCTCGGCTTAAATAACTCTTCTAATTATCATTCTTAAGACATTTGTTCTTCGTCCAAGTTTTCTAAAATATGACGAGCAATGTATGCAAATTTATTGACTGTTTTTCATATTTTTCAATATTTCTGCACAAAAAAGACGCTCTTCGTGTCCCCAGTGGCGCAATTGGTTAGCGCGCGGTACTTATACAGCAGTATCTGCGAGTAATGCCGAGGCTGTGAGTTCGAGCATCACCAGGGGAAGCGGTTCTTTTTCGATAACCTTATCTCGCGATTCTACTCTCGGTTCTAATTAGCGTTCTTAAGACACTTGTTTTTCGTCGAAGTTTTCTAAAATATCACGAGGACGAGCAATGCTTGTGTAAATTTAGTTGAATGTTTTTCATTAATTTTCCATATTTCTACTGAAAAGAGCCTCTCCGTGTCCCCAGTGGCCCATGGTTAGCGCGGGTACTTACAGCAGTATCTGCAGATAATGCCGAGCTGGCTGAGTTCACCTCACCTAGGGAAGCGCTTCTTTCTGATAACCTTACTCGATTCTTCTCTCCGGCTTAAATAACTCTTCTAATTGGCATTCTTAAGACACTTGTTTCTTCGAGTTTTCAAAATATAGCGAGATGTATGCAAATTTTGAATGTTTTCATATTTTTCATATTTCTGCACAAAGGACATCTCGTGTCCCCAGTGGCGTAATTGGTTGTACGCGGTACTTATACAGCAGTATCTGCAGTAATGCCGAGGCTTGGTTCGAGCCTCACCTGGGGAAGCGCTTCTTTTCGATAACCTTACTCGATTCTTCTCTCGGCAAATAACTCTTCTAATTAGCATTCTTAGCACTTGTTTTCGTCCAATTTTCAAAATATGACGATAATGTATACAAATTGGCACTAGTATTTTTCATAATTTCAATATTTCTGCACAAAAAAGCTCTCCACGTTCCCCAGTGGCGCAATTGGTGAGCGCGCGGTACTTAGCAGTATCTGCGAGGTAATGCCGAGCTGAGTTGGCCTCCTGGAAGCGCTTCTTTTCTATAACCTTATCTCGATTCTACTCTGGCAAATAACTCTTCTAATTATCATTCTTAAGACATTTTGTTTTCGTCCAAGTTTTCTAAAATATGACGAGTAATGCAAATTTATTGACTGTTTTCCAGTTTTCAATATTTCCGTACAGAAAAAGCGCTCTCGAGTCCCCAGTGGCGCAATTGGTTGGCCTGCTGCGTACTTAACCAGTATCTGCGAGGTAATGCCGAGGCTGTGAGTTCGAGCCTCACCTGGGAAGCGCTTCTTTTGATAACCTTATCTCATTCTACTCTCAGCTTAAATAACTCTTCTAATTAGCATTCTTAAGACACTTGTTTTCGTAAGTTTTCTAAAATATGACGGAGTAATGTGAAATTTATTGACTGTTTTTCGGTTTTCAATATTTCCGCAGAAAAAGCGCTCTCCAGGGTCTGGCGCAATTGGTTAGCGCGCCTTATACAGCAGTATCTGCGAGTAATGCCGAGGCTGTGAGTTCGAGCCTCACCTGGGAAGCGCTTCTTTTTCGATAACCTTATCTCGATTCTACTCTCGCTTAAATAACTCTTCTAATTAGTCATTCTTAAGACATTGTTTTTCGTCAAGTTTTCTAAAATATGACGATAATACAAGAAATTTATTGATGTTTTCATTTTTATATTTCTGCACAAAAAAGAGCTCTCCGTGTCCCAGTGGCGCAATGGTTGTACGCGTACTTATACAGCAGTATCTGCGAGTAATGCCGAGGCTGAGTTCGAGCCTCACCTGGGAAGCCTTCTTTTCGATAACCTTATCCGATTCTACTCTCGGCTTAAATAACTTTCTAATTAGTATTCTTAAGACTTGTTTTCGTCAAGTTTTCTAAAATATGACAGTACAATGTATGAAATTTATTGAATGTTTTTCATTTTCCATATTTCTGCACAAAGAAGAGACTCTCCGTCCCCAGTGGCTGCAATTGGTTGGCGCGGTACTTATACAGCAGTATCTGCGGAGTAATGCCGAGGCTGTGAGTTCGAGCCTCACCTGGGGCTTCTTTTTTCATAACCTTCACTCGATTCTTCTCTGGCAAATAACTCTTCTAATTAGCATTCTTAAGACACTTGTTTTCGTCAGAGTTTTTCAATATGACAGTAATGTATCTTATTGAATGTTTTTCATATTTTCAATATTTCTGCACAAGGACCTCTCCGTGTCCCCATTATTGTGTTAGCGCGCGGTACTTATACAGCAGTATCTGCGAGTAATGCCGGGCTGTGATTTCAGGCCTCACCTGGGGAAGCCTTCTTTTCGATAACATCCTCGATTCTTCTCTCGCTTAAATAACTCTTCTAATTAGCATTCTTAGACACTTGTTTTCGTCAGAGTTTTCCGAAAATATGACGAGTAATGTATGCAAATTTATTGAATTTTTCATTCATATTTCTCTTTCAAAAAAAAAGTTCCGTTTCCCCAGTGGCGCAATTGGTGCGCGCGGTCTTATACAGCAGTATCTGCGAGTAACCGAGGCGTGAGTTGAGCCTCACCTGGGAAGCGCTTCTTTTCATAACCTTATCTCGATTCTACTCTCTGGCAAATAACTCTTCTAATTATCATTCTTAAGACATTTGTTTTCGTCAAGTTTTCTAAAATATGACAGTAATGTATGCAAATTTATTGATGTTTTCGCATTTTCAATATTTCGTACAGAAACTCTCGAGTCCCCAGTGGCGCAATTGGTTAGGCGGTACTTACAGCAGTATCTGCAGGTAATGCCGAGGCTGTGAGTTCGAGCCTCACCTGGGAGCGCTTCTTTTCGTATTACTCGATTCTACTCTCGCTTAAATAACTCTTCTAATTAGCATTCTTAAGACACTTGTTTTTCGTCAATTTTCTAAAATATGACGAGTAATGTATGCATTTATTGATGTTTTTCGTTTTCAATATTTCCGTACGAAAAAAGCTCTCGAGTCGATGGCGCAATTGGTTCGCGCGGTACTTATACAGCAGTATCTGCGAGTAACCGAGGCTGTGAGTTCGAGCCTCACCTGGGAAGCGCTTCTTTTTCGATAACCTTATCTCGATTCTACTCTCGGCTTAAATAACCTTCTAATTAGTTCTTACAGCCTTGTTTTCGTCAGTTTTCTAAAATATGACGAGAATGTAAAATTTATTGATGTTTTCATATTTTTCAATATTTCTGCAGAAAAAAAGGCTCTGTCCCCAGTGGCGCAATTGGTTAGCGCGCGGTATTATACACAGTATCTGCAGTAATGCCGAGGCTGTGAGTTCGAGCCTCACCTGGGGCCCTTTTTCTATAACCTAATCTCGATTCCACTCTCGGCTTAAATAACTCTTCTAATTATCATTCTTAAGACATTTGTTCTTCGTCCAAGTTTTCTAAAATATGACGAGTAATGTATGCAAATTTATTGACTGTTTTCGCAGTTTTCCATATTTCATACAGAAAAAGCTCTCCGATGAGCGCAATTGGTTAGCGCGCGGTACTTATACAGCAGTATCTGCAGTAATGCCGAGGCTGTGAGTTCAGCCTCACCTGGGAAGCGCTTCTTTTCTATAACCTTATCTCGATTCCATCTAGCTTAACATCTTCTAATTACATTCTTAAGACATTTGTTTTCTCCAAGTTTTCTAAAATATGACGAGTAATGTAAAATTTATTGAATGTTTTCACATTTTCAATATTTCTGTACAAAAGCGCTCTCCGAGTCCCCAGTGCGCAATTAGTTGCGCGGTACTTTTACAGCGTATCTCGAGTAATGCCGAGGCTGAGTTCGAGCCTCCACGGAGCCTTCTTTTCGATAACCTGACTCGATTCTAATCTTATAATAACTCTTCTAATTAGCTTTCTTAAGACACTTGTTTTTCGTCGAAGTTTTCTAAAATATGACGAGTAATGTATGCAAATTTGAATGTTTTTCATAAATTTCCATATTTCTGCACAAAAAGTCTCTCTGTCCCTGATGGCGTTGGTTTAGCGCGGTACTTATACAGTAATCTGCGAGTAATGCCGAGGCTGGGAGTTCGAGCCTCACTGGGGAAGCACTTCTTTTTCATAACCTTATCTCGATTCTACTCTCTAAATAACTTTCTAATTAGTATTCTTAAGACCTTGTTTTTCGTCAAGTTTTTTAAATATGACGAGCAATGTATGAAATTTATTGAATGTTTTTCGCAAATTCCATATTTCTGCTGAAGGACACTCCGTGTCCCAGTGGCGAAATTGGTTAAGGGTTGGTACAGACAGTATCTGCGAGTAATGCCGAGGGTGAGTTCGAGCCTCACCTGGGGAAGCCTTCTTTTTCGATAACCTTCATCATTCTCTCGGCTTAAATAACTTTCTAATTAGATTCTTAAGACACTTGTTTTCGTCAGAGTTTTCGAATTAACGTAATGTATGTTATTATTTTTTTTCATATTTTCAATATTTCTACGAAAAAGACGCTCTCATGTCAGTGGCATATGGTTAGCGCGCGGTACTTTCATGAGATATCTGCGAGCCGAGGCTGTGGTTCAGCCTCACCTGGGGAAGCGCTTCTCGATACCTTCCTCAGTTCTTCTCTCTGGCTTAAATAACTCTTCTAATTACATTCTTAAGACACTTGTTTTCGTCAGAGTTTTCAAAATTGACGATAATGTATGCAAATTTATTGATAGTTTTTCATATTTCATATTTCTACAAAAAAAGCTCAGTCCGTTCCCAGAGCGCAATTGGTTACGGTCTTTTACAGCATATCTTGAGTAATGAGGCTGTGAGTTCGAACTCTGAGGCGCTTCTTTTCTATAACATTATCGATTCACTCTCTAAACTAATAACTCTTCTAATTATCATTCTTAAGACATTTGTTCTCTGTCCAAGTTTTCTAAAAAACGAGTAATGTATACAATTTATTGATGTTTTCACATTTTCAATATTTCACTAAAAAAAGCTCTCCGAGTCCCAGGCAATTGGTTGTGCGCGGTACTTTATACAGCTATCTCAGGTAATGCCGAGGTGAGTTCGAGCCTCACCTGGGAGAACGCCTTTTTCGATACACACTCTTCTACTATGCTTAAATAACTCTACAATTAGCTTTCTTAAGACACTTGTTTTCCGTCAAGTTTTCTAAAATGTAGGAGTAATGTATGCAAATTTATTAGATGTTTTTCATATTTCTATATTTCTGCTACAAAAAGACGTCTCTGTAGTGGCGCAATTGTTAGCGCGCGTACTTATACAGCAGTATCTGCATAATGCCGAGGCAGGTTCGAGCCTCACCTGAGAGCACTTCTTTCGATAACCTTATCTCGCATTCTACTCTAAATAATTCTAATTAGTATTCTTAAGACACTTGTTTTCGTCGAGTTTTCTAAAATATGACGAGCAATGTATAATTTGATGTTTTTCATATTTTCAATATTTCTGCCAAAAAGGCTCTCCCGTGTCCCCAGTGGCCAATTGTTAGCGCGCGTGTACTATACAGTATCTGCAGAGTAATGCGAGGCTGTGAGTTCGGCCTCCACCTGGGGAAGCCTTGCTTTTTTTCATAACCTAATCTAATTACTCTCGCTTAATAACTCTCAATTATCTTGAACATTTTTTCGTCAAGTTTTCTAAAATTGGAGTAATGTGATAAATTTGAATGACTTGTTTTCTATTTCTGTACAGAAAAATTCGAGTCCCCATGGCATGTGGTTAGCGCGCGGTACTTATACACATTATCTGAGAGTAATGCCGAGGCTGTAGTTCAGGCCTCACCGGAAGCGCTTCTTTTCTATACCTTATCTCGATTCATCTATGCTTAAATAACTCTTCTAATTACATTCTTAAGACACTTTGTTTTCGTCCAGATTTTCTAAAATGGAGTAATGTATGCAAATTTATTGAATGTTTTCAATTTTCAATATTTCTGTACAGAAAAAGGCTCTCCAGGTCCCCAGTGGCGCAATTGGTTAGCTGCGGTACTTTTTACAGCATTATCTTCAGATATGCCGAGGCTTGAGTTCGAGCCTCACCTAGAGCGCTTCTTCTTTCGATAACCTTGACTCGATTCTAATCTTGCTAAATACTTCTTCTAATTAACTTTCTTTAAGACACTTGTTTTCGTCAAAGTTTTCTAAAATACTGGTGAAATAATGTATAATGTTATTGAATTTTTCATAAATTTCCTCTTTCTACAAAAAAAAGTCTCTCTCTGTGTCCCCATTGGCGCAATTGGTTCGCGCGGCACTTATACAGCATTATCTGCGAGTAATGCCGAGGCTGTGAGTTCGACCTCACCGGGGGAAGCATGTAACCTTATCTCGATTCTCTCTCGGCTTAAATAACTTTCTAATTATCTACTTAAGACCTTTTGTTTTCATCAAGTTTTCTAAAATATGACGAGAATAATAGCAAATTTGGTTTTTCATTTTCCATATTTCTCTTACAAAAAGCGACCTCCGTGTCCCCAGTGGCAAATTGGTTACGCGGTACTATACAGCAGAATCTGCGAGTAATGCCGAGGCTGTGAGTTCAGCCTCACCTGGGGAAGCCTTCTTTTTCGATAACCTTCCTCGATTCTTCGGCTTAAATAATTCTAATTAGATTCTTAGAACACTTGTTTTTCGTCAAGTTTTCAAAATATGACGAGTAATGTATACAAATTTAGTGACTGTTTTCGCATTTTTCAATATTTCTGCAAAGAAGACCTCTCCATGTCCCATTGGCGCAATTGGTTGGCGCGCGGTACTTATACAGCAGTATCTGCGAGTATGCCGAGGCTGTGAGTTCGAGCCTCACCTGGGAAGCGCTTCTTTTCGATAACCTTCCTCGATTCTTACTCTCAAGCCATCCTCTTCTAATTAGCTTAAGACACTTGTTTTCGTCGCAAGTTTTTAAAATATACGAGTAATGTAATGCTTTGAATGTTTTCATAAATTTTCATATTTCCTTCAAAAAAGAGCTCTCCGGTCTAGGCGCAATTCAGTTGCGCGCGTACTTTATACAGCAGTATCTGCAGTAATGCCGAGGCTGTGAGTTCGAGCCTCACCTGAAGCGCTTCTTTTCTATAACCTTATCTCGATTCCTCTCGTAAATAACTCTTCTAATTATCATTCTTAAGACATTTTGTTCTTCGTCAAGTTTTCTAAATATGACGAGTAATGTGTCAAATTTATTAATATTTTTCACATTTTCAATATTTCTGTGCAAAAT